CACAAAAATCTGAGTAAAATGGCATAAGATTGCTTTCCTCGGAAAAACCGAGAGAAGAGATTCCGTACGAAAACAGTGAAATTTCTCTAGACCGACTTCCTTCGGTCTTGCATAAAACTCATGAAAATCGTGAAAAATTGCGACCCAGACTTTTATCTGGGTCGCCAAAACTCTATGAAAACAATGAAGAACAGCGAGTAGGTAAGAAACCCCAGTCGCCAAAACTCTATGAAAATCATGAATTTCCTTAAGATAGAAAAAATAACGCTAATTTTATTTTTTTTTTATTTTTTTATTTTGTATGTAAAGACAGATATGTCAACAACAGAGAACACAACAACAGTTATAGTCCATGAAGCTATAAATGAAGAATATGAGTACATACAGTTTAACAAACAACTCCGTCTCATTCGTTCAGTCAAAGACGATATGTACCAAATGAAAAGTATTTTGACAGCATGTTTTGCTCCAGATACTAAGAAACCACAAGACTGGTTTAGGAACCAAAGCACTATTGAACTATTAAATGAAGCTGAAAATTCGACTACGAGAAATCCCGTAGTCGCAAAAACTCGAGTGGGAGAAAAACCCCAGTCGCCAAAACTCTATGAAAACAGTGAAGAACAGCGACTACGAGAAAAACCCCAGTCGCCAAAACTCTATGAAAATCGTGAAAAATTGCCAAACGGTTTGAGAGGATATTATGTACATAGACTTCTTGTAAATAATGTGGCACAATGGGCTTCAGCTCGCTATTCATGGTATGTTTGTAAACTTCTTGACGAAATTCACAGACAAGAACGTGAAGAGCTAGAGAACAAGCTTGAAGCAAAAGACAAAAACATACAGAAAAGAATACCACGTTCGGTACCAAAAGGAAAGGAAAAGAACTATAAGTATATGATTTATACTGAAGAGATGGAAAATGAAGAAGACAGAGATATGGTTATGTTGCATTTAGTCAGAAGAAACAACAAAAGCTTTTACGACCTTGCTAAGATTTACAAATCTGACAGAAATTGGTTCTATCGCGAAAACTTACCGATTTCAATGACCCCAAATGAAGATGTGAAACAAATAGTTCAAGATACGTTACCTCAAACACACTATGATATTAAAGGTTGTACAATTCTTACATTCAAAGAAGATTTACCGCTACTGAAAGAAAAAATAACAGAGTATTTTGACAACTTCAAACAAGTAGAGTAAATTGCACTCTTTATTTTTACGCTTGACTTCAGATGGCTCAGGTAGCTCAAATTAGGTAAATTGCCTCATCTGCTGGGTCTATGTCGGTCATTGTTTCAAGACAAGTCTTTTACTTTTTCAAGACAAGTCTTTTACTTTTTCAAGACAAGTCTTTTACTTTTTCAAGACAAGTCTTTTACTTTTTCAAGACAAGTCTTTTACTTTTTCAAGACAAGTCTTTTACTTTTTCAAGACAAGACCCGTTATTTTTCAAGAAATTTTTGGTGTAAAGTTCTCAAATTTGAGAACAGTGGTCTTGCTTGAAGACGATACCCGTACTTTTTCAAGACAAGTCTTTACTTTTTCAAGACAAGTCTTTTACTTTTTCAAGACAAGTCTTTTACTTTTTCAAGACAAGTCTTTTACTTTTTCAAGACAAGTCTTTTACTTTTTCAAGACAAGTCTTTTACTTTTTCAAGACAAGTCTTTTACTTTTTCAAGACAAGTCTTTTACTTTTTCAAGACAAGTCTTTTACTTTTTCAAGACAAGTCTTTTATTGTTTCAAGACAAGTCTTTTACTTTTTCAAGACAAGTCTTTTATTGTTTCAAGACAATGTCCGACGTACCACCAACCGAGTCCATTCCAAAGCCAGAAGAACCGACAGCCCCAGCACCACAACAGACTAAGACTCAAACACTTACATTTTTCAAGCTTGACTTTTTACAATTTGAACTTTGTTTGCGTAGATGTGAATTCTGAAAGAAGTATGAGGGTCTTGTATGACTTTGTACTTCTCCCAGAGTTCATGTCTGTCAAACTTACCTGCCATGGACTCTTTCATAAGTTCCATGAAATCGTCTTCGGACAATCCAGGGAAAAGTATGATATCAGTAAGTATTCTTTTAACATCCTTACTTAAACTCTTTGCTGTCTGTACACAAATGACAACAGAGATGTTGAAGTGTCTGAGCTTCTTAAGAATTCGACACATATCTTGTTCTCTGTTCTTTAACAAAGGATGAGAGGCGAAATCATCTAAGATAAGAAGACATCTGTGAGGGTAAGTCTTCCAATCGTAAGATTGCAATTTCTTCGAAATGTATTCTATCTCTTTCTGTTTGTTTCTGAAGTGTTTCTTCTCTAATATTCTCTGCATTTCCTCATTTGGGTCTTTAAACTTCGAATTGACATACTCATTTATAGCATTGTACTTCAAAACTCTTCTTTGGTACTTCTTTATCCAATCTAACAACTCAGAGTCTTTTATACATACTAACTTAGACTTCTTTATAATATCTTTGAACGAATTTACGGTTTGGTCAAATTGACCAGAAGTACTACAAATAACAACTAACTCATAGAATGGGTTCTTCTCATCTAGTTCTTGTTGTTGTGCAGCCATTTTAAGATAAGTGAAAGTCTTACCCGACCCAGGTGGTGCGATTAGACCTGTTATACCATTCTGAGCAAATAAGAACTTGTCATGTATAGGCTTTATCTGAGCATTTTCTAACTTCCTCTTGTTCTTGTTTAAAACATTCTCAAATTTCTTGTCAATGTCAGCAAACTTTTTTTCTAACATATTTTTAGAAAAATTAAAAATTTTATCTTTTAGAAAATGTCTAGTGATTTCGCTATCTATATTCGAGACAAACTTTTTGACAGCAAAACATCTGTCGACCATAAAATCTTACATAGTGTAAACAAGAAAGGTGAATTTGTTCTAAAGTTCTGTTTCTGGGAATATGACAAGAACCATAAAACATTAGGCAGAGAAGTCTTTAAGTTTGTCAATGACAGACTTGTTGACAGAGATGACACCGATTGGAAAGATGAAGTCCAACAAAAGTTCTTAGAATGCAAAGAAGACACATGCGCTGTTCTTGAAGATGAAATAGAAAACAGAATAGAAGAGCTATTAAAGGACAAAGAACTTTTACATAAATATGGTTCTGAGAAGTTTGACATAACTCCACCAGAGAAGAAGAAGAAGAGAGAAAAGAAAGAAAAGAAAGTAGAAGAAGAGAAGAAAGAACCTGAACCAGTTCCAGAGAAGGTGAGATATGACATGTAAAAATAAACTTTTTATTTTTAGAACATTTCTGGGTCAATGTCAATGTTCTCTTCCTCTTTAGGAGCAAACACTGGCTTAGACTCTAAAATCTTTTTACCCAATTTACCTTGAACTTCAACTATCTTAGACTCATAATATTCATAGTCGTCTGCTTTCTTTGGTTCATAAGGTATAACAAGTTTGTATGCTTTGCCTTCTTTAAGGTTTGAGAACCTTCTGTCAAAATTTTCTTTGACTGCTAACAAACCTTCTATGTCTAAGTCTTCAAATTTCGCACCATTTTTAGTCACAATAGCAAACTTAACTGGTTCGATGTTCCAAACTTTGTCAAATGTAGACTTTTCAAAATGGTAGAAGTAAACATTCAAATAAGCGAATGGGTCTAGTTCTTCTTTGACTTCTGTCATGTACTTATTTACTGAAATATATTTCGTCATCTTTTCTATCGGATAAAAAAATATTTTTTTAAAATTTACTCAGAAAAATTTTTCTTTGTATATACACCATTCTGAACATCTAAAAGATTTTTGACATTTGCCAAGAATGTTCGTTTAGACGCTGTCATATAACCATATTCTTGACAATATTGTTTATATTCATCGTACAACGACCTTTCATCTAAACACTCAAAGTTAGTCTCATCTATAAACAGTTCATATACACTCTTGTTTGCTTCTAACAATGTTTGTCTCTCTTCGGTATATGGAATTTGTCTTGGATTGAACTTAGAAATATCTAATGTCATAAAATATGAGAACAAGTGGTTGTAAAAGTTAGGTGTCAAAGTTTCTGACAAAGCGTCAAAATATTCTGTATCTTGCATATGAGCTTCTGACGTTCTGACAACTACATATCTTCTGTCAGAACTTTCTAACTTCATCGGAACGGCGTTGTTTGAAACCATGATGAAATTTGCAACATTTTCACAAACTCTTTGGTCTTTATATTTTCTTTCAACAACTCCAACTTTGTCTGTTATAAGACTCTTCAAAGCATCTGAGTTCAAAACTTTTGTTGTATCTATACTTTGAAGTTCGTTACATACTATAAGTTTCATATTCTCTATTGAAGAGTTAAATTTACCGCAGATGTTTTCTAAGTTTGTCATATTCGGATTCGAATAACCTTCTAATAGTTTGCACAAAATATCTGTAAAGAATGTGTTCTTACCAGTTCCTTGTTTTCCAATTATAATGAGAGCAGTTTCATTTTTAGCACTTGGATGTTGTAAGATGTTTGCAAACCAACATAAGATATACTCATAAACCTTTTCGTTTCCATTGCATATAATTTCTTTGACATGGTCTAACCAAGCTTCTATAACATTTTCTTTCAATTCTACTTGTTCGTATTTATATCCAGTGAAGATAGAATAGAAGTTTGGAGAAGGTGTATAAAACTTTATACCACGAACTGAAAAATCTTCAAGTTTTGACAATAAGATATCCCAAGCATCTAACATCTTCATGCCAACTTGTACGACTTTTATTTTCTTAAGTTTCTGTCTACATTCTTGTTCTGAAACTATTGTCGCTCTTGGTTTGTTAAAGACAACATCCCATTCTTTCATGACATAACATTCTGGGGCAGAGTCGACATAAATGACTAAACGTTTCAAATTCTCGACTGCTTTGTTATAGTCTCGAAATGGACACATATTTCTGAACGCTTGGAAGTCATAAAAATCTGAAACATCTATTCTGTACATTTTTATAAAAATAAAAAAAATATTTTTTTTATTCTTGAGCTATTTGTTGCATTTGTTGTTCTTGAGCTATTTGTTGTTGAAGTTGTTCTTGTAATACAATACTTTCACCAGTTGCATCTTCCAATTCGAAACTTTCTGCCGTCATTGACAAATACATAGGACATAAAAGTTTTACAGGAACAAAGTTTGCGTCAACTAAGGTTAAGTTTATGTTTGCTAAAGTGTTTGAGTTCACTAAAGCTGAAAACTCTGCATTCGAATGAACAATAGGCAAACCAGCAGAGAAAGTGTTGTTTATACGCATGAGTATCTTTTGGTCATAGTAGTTTCTGTCGACATTCGAATAGCACTTTGAACCTAAGTTTGAAACAATATATAAAATAGGTGTACTTAAAGTCAATGGAACAGACAAACCTTGTATGACACCTTTTCCTGTTATAGGAAACTGTTGGTAGTAAAAACCAGATATAAGTTTTGTATTATAGCTCATATCGTTTATACTAAACTCAGTCGGACATCCAAACATAATGAAACCTGCTCTAGTTGCAGCACATGTTACATCCGTCCTTAAAGTATTAAATAAGTCAACAAAACCTGTTGGTGGTATATCTGAGTAAGTATCTTCAAAGAAGTATTTTTTACCATTCACAACAACAAAGTCTTCTGGTGTCAAAAGAGCAAAACAGGCTTGAGTCGTCATTGTGTTTAAAGTTAGTTTACAATATCGTCCTTGAGGACTTTGTAAGTTTGTTGTTATAGAATTATATGACTCAGGGTTTTTAGTCGTAATAGTATAAACCATTGTGTCTTCTGCCATTTACTTAGCAACTAAATTTTAATGAAATGTTGTGGTCGTCAAATATTTTTATGACGTCTGGGAAACTATATTTTAAGTTCAACGTTTCACCTCCTTTCATAACGTATATCTTGTCAATGACATTATATGAAACACCACAGCAAGCAATGTCGGGTTCTATTTCTTTGATGTTTATATCGTCTGCCTCTGTCAAAAGTTTCAATAGTTCTTTCAAAACTTCACGAGGTGCGATGACATATGAGTTCACTTTTACAGGGTTGTGTTCGACCAAGTTTAACATTATACCCAAAGCTTGACAAATCTTCTCCTGAGTTTTAAGTTTGTCTTTAAGTTGTTGGTAGTCATTTCGAATATCTGCAACAGAACTTAAGTCTCTGCTAACTTCAGGATATGTTGGTTGTTCTTTTACAGGAACTATTGTTATACCATCTTCGTCTTCGTATGGTTTCCCCACTTCAACATCTCTTTCTTTGACATTGACAACAACACTTTGACTGTTTGTTTGAGTTGGTGAATTTAACTTCACATCTGCCACCGCCATTAAACCTTTTGAAACACTCACGCTTCTATTTTTCGGAAATGACATTTTACTTAGAATAAAAAGATGGACGTATTTGAGTATCTCTTCGAATTGAAGCAGAACAAAGTTTACACACACAAACAATACAAATACATTGACAGAATAGTTCTTTACACAAACAATGGAAAATGTTATAGAATAGCAGTCTTTGCTGAACCAAAATATTTTCATAAAGCAAAGAAAGTTGGTATAACCGAGATGGTGAAAGTTCTTGAAGCAGACAAAAATATAACAACAAAACTGACCGATATTTCTAAAGGTAAGTTTATCTTACAATTTTATGTCAAAACTGGCGTACTGTCAATATTTGACGGAGAGAAGTCAGTTCAAGAACAACTTACTGACCTGCTGCCAAAATCTGCTCGATGGAAGCTGTCGTTATGCCAATCTGAGGAGCCCAGCAGGTTTCATCGAACGAATCTTCAAAAGAGCATCTTCCGTGAAAAGTGCTATTGGTTTTGTAAACTTCTTTGCTCTCAATTCATCTGGACCGTCTCTGTCACCAGTATATTGTATTTGAACAGTACCAACAGTTGAAATACCACCCATAAAGTCTTCTGAGTCAGCAAATGGAATGCCAAGCCAAAAGTTTGAACGGTCTCCATTTGTATATTGAGTTTTTTGACCTCCTGTATGAGTCCATACTTTCACATATGGCATAATAGAGAACTTTGCATTTCAGGGTTAATGGTTGTTGTGAAGTTGTTGTTAAAGTTCATAGCATCTAATGTCAAGTTGTATGACCTCAATCCTCAACTGTAGAATATTCTTCTCTTGGATAATATTTGCCATCTATGTTTATATGGTATTTAATACCAGGGTTGTAGAAGCAAGAATAGTCATTTATAGTTCGTCTGAACAGTACAAACATAGTATCTGCATGTTTCATTGCAGTTGTTAAGGCAATATCTGTTCTTGCACCTGGGTCAGCACTTTGGTTTCCAACTTCACCTGCAAAGTCTTTGACAGATATTTGGTGTATAGGGAACATAAGTGGAACTGCAATATATTTGGCAGCTAAAGCATTTGAAATATCTGGGTCCAACATATAGACTGCAAGTCTGCTTTCTATTCTCTTGCATTCAAATTTTTCGCATGTGAACTTAACTGGGTCCCAAGCAGTTCCAGCAGCATTGAAGTAGTAGTTTACTTCAGTGTTGAGGTTTGAGAAACCAAAGTCTAAGTCAACTTTGTCTTTGCAAAAGTCACAGAACTTGGCTCCACCAGTTCCAGCTACAGCAATGCTGAATGGGTCTTGTGTTGGTGCAATGACTAAGTTATTTTTGCTTGGAGTAAGTTCGATAGAAATTTTTCCTGCCCAGTTTGGCAAGTATCTTAAAAACCTGAAGATGAGGAAAGATGACAAAGGAACTCTAAGTTTCAGTTTTACTTTAGTGGCAGCAGTTCCATCTGAACCAGAAAGGTTAACATAAACTCCTGGAACGTTAGGGTCAAGTCTTCTTATTTTCTCAATAGTTGCATACTGGTCTGTTTGTTCTCTAGCTTGTGGTTGTACTGAGTTTCTCAAAGCGAACCATTCATAGTTTGCCCATGTTACTGTTTGAACTAAGTCAGAGTTAGAAATATATCTTATATCCCATGAAAACTTCTGGAGCATATTGGTATCCGACATAGAAAATTCCATTGCAACCTTTCTTGTCAGACAACTTGGCAGAAGGTTTTATTTCAATGTCTTGTTCCACGTATAAGAAAGAGTTGTCAATAGAAATTATATGAAACCTGTCGCAAGCAATATCTACTGTTGTTGAAGAACCTTCTCCAAACTCACCTACGTTTTCCATAAGAAACAGCAGTTGTATATTCGTAAGTTCCAGGAACTATTTCTGACCTTCTAATGGCATTGTCGCATTCGTTATACCATTCGGAAACATTTCCATTCATGGCATCCAAAACTGTTGGCGTTATATTCTGAGCGGCGTACATTTCATATGAGTAAAAATATAGAATAGTTGGATTTATATGTCATAATAGAACCCACGTGGACCAAGCTTTACTTTCTTCCTGACTGAGTTTTTAACTCTTCTTTTTCCTTCATTGCCCTCTGCTTGAAGTTGTTGCATCTTTGCATTATGTTCATCTAGTATGTTGCAAATTTCCCATGTCCTTTTTGCCTTTTGGCTCTGGTCGCCCATCTCAGGTAACCTATATCCTAGAAAGAGTTTGTCATAGTCTGTATTTGAGTCTTTGCGTATTGTTTGCATGACTCTTTCCTGAGTTTCTGGTTCAAGCTCTTCAAACAGAGCTTGTCCATATGGAATAAGCTCGTTTCCAAATATATGTTTTTGTAGCCATTCTGGTTTTCTTTCCATGTTACCAACTATATCTTTTGTGAATGGGAAAGCTTTTACCCAATCTTTCAGTCTTGCGTCGTTTATTTCTGTAGTTGGTTTTATTTTGTCAAGGAACATGTTTTTCAATACTAACATTTCATTTGGTACTGTCCATTTGAGTTTTCTTAAATATTCATCCCTTCTCGGTTCATTGTCTGCAAAGTAAGTTTTTATGACATTTTGTAAACTTTCGTTTGCAAGGTCATGTACAATAGGTTCTCTTCCTTCTCTCTCCCTAACTTTCTTTCTAAACTCTTCACCAAATATACCATCTCTATGGTTCTGTGTAGTTCTTTGAGATAAATGTTCTAGAACGTCAGGTGTTATATTTCCATCAGCCATGTTCATTTCATACTGGTCCAAAATATCTGCATGTTTCATATCTTTCAATGGCATTAAAGCCGCGCTTAAAATACCAGCTATATCTGGTTCACCATTGACTTCCATTGCGTCTACAACTTCTTGGAATTGAGGTTGTAAGTTTATGAACCACCTATCTGGATTAGCTTTATGACCCATCTCATTGTAGTTCCATCGTCTGCAGAAACAAAAGTAGGTTTGTTTCCATCTTGGTTAGGTTCTGAATGAACTTTAAACAATGTTTCATTTCTATATGTTTTCTTGAAATTTAACCTTTTATCTTCACCGAGTTCATCCGAAGATTGAACGTTAAATGCTCGTAAGTAAAAAGGGTTGTTGTATTTGTGTACATTTTTTTTCAGTTCTTCCATTCTATGCTGAATATTTTCATCTGGTGTTGGAGTCTTTTGTATGTCGGCAAACATTTTTCGATATTCTTCTACTATGTCAGCCGAATCTTTCTTAGACTCTTGGAAAGATTCCATATTCACCTCATGCTCTTGTTGAGGGTCAAGATTTTTCGGCTGTTCCAAATCTTCATCTAGTTCTGTGAAGTTAGTTTCCAAAGGAGTGACTTGTTCGTTTCCTTCAGGCTCTTCTAGCTGTTGTTGCTGAACTATTTCTTCCATGTCTGGTTGTATCTGAACTTCTTCCTGTGGAGTTTCTTGTACCTCATCTGCTGGCATTTCATATATTCCGAGACCGTTTTCAACAATTTCCCTATCTACGTCATCCGCATTCATAAGCCTTTCTTCTTTCGTTCCGTCTCTATTTTTTACGCGTTTCATGACGAAAGTTGAATTGTCATTTAGCTCTGACATCAAATATCTCGGAGTAAATTCGTTCATGTCATTTGGATGATATGCTATTAAATCATATCCCTTAGCGAGCTTGTATTTTCCAGGTTTGAGATTATATCCGTTTTGGTGCTGAGCCATAAAGCTAAATAGGTTCGGGTCAGTATTTCCTTCCTTGAACTTTCCAATAGCTTCTTTATATCTGTCACTAAAGTCAATAGTATCTGGGAAACCACACTCTTCTTTAAGCATTTTTAAGAATTCTTGGTTTCCTTGTTCTCTACTTCTTTTATGTCCTTGCTCTGTTTGTGGTTGTTGCTGTGCTGGTTGTGGAGGTGGTTGTTGTGTTGGTTGTTGTGTTGGTTGTTGTGCTGGTTGTGGAGGTGGTTGTTGTGCTGGTTGTTGTGCATGCCTGTGTCTGTGTCCATGTGACGATGTAAATGTTCTAGGTAGTCCTGGTGCAGGTGCTTCTCTTGGAGGGTTTGGTGGTATATAAGTTCCACCAGCTGGCACATATGTTCCATCTGCAGCATAATGTCCTACCTGACTTTTCGTTTTTAAGAAAGCATTTACTAGGTCTGTTTTGGTCTGTTGTAACTCTTTTTCTTGACTTTCCACAACAGTTGCTCTAACGGCGTCATAGGCACTTTGAACTGCTTGTCTCGTTGCTGCATCTGTTATTTTCGTCATATTTTGTGCTACTTCCTTTAACTCTTTGTCGAAACCTTCAGACTTCAGTTTCTTTCCAGATGAGAAATCGTTCACTTGTTTCACCTTACTATGAAGAGCTTCGAAGGCGTTCTTAAAGTCAGCATTTGTTAAAGCTTCATTTGAACTGTCTTCATCCGCTTGTATTTTTGTCCTTATTGACCCTATAAGCTGGGCTGCTTTGGCGTTGGCTTGGGCATCTAACCAGTCATTGTTAGCTTTTATATATTCTGCGCTTTTCATTGCCTTTTGCATAGCCGCGTCGTTATTTTTACTTTCTTGTGCTAAGTTTTCATACTGTACGGTTTGGTTTTGCAACTGTAAAAGTTTTTCTGCCTTTACATTTGCTTCAACTTCTTTTTTATACTCATCGCTATCCATATATGTCTTCAGGGCTTTTTGTTTTATCTCTTCATCTTTCAGTACTTTATATTGAGTAGTATGGTTTTTCAAATTTATGACATCTTGTTCCATTTTTGCTACTTCTGCTGCTTTTTCTGACACTTTTTTTGCATATTCCTCTGTACTTAGTTCTTTCAGTTGTTCTTCTTTCTTCTTTTTCTCTACGTTTAACTCATTTAGTTTCTTTGTGTGTCTGTCATATTCTAGTTTCTTTTCGTTTTCACTTATTTGCTTCTGTATGTCTATGTTTGACTTTTTGACATCTGTTATTTGATTTTTGAGTGAACTCAAATTCATTTGACTTTGAGGGTTATAGGCTGTTCCGTCTGCAGCTCCACCATAGCCTGCCATTTTCGCTAAAAGTGCCGCTCTTAAACCTCCACTCTGTGCACCAATAACTCGGTTTAAAAGCATAGGGTTGCTTGACATTTGTTGCAACATAGTGGGGTCATTCAGCATTTGTTGTTGCAACTGTTGTTGTGGTGTTAGTTTTACTATTGGATGTTTCAATGCTCTCTTCCTCTTACGTATATTCTTACGTAGCTTACGTGGCATTTTAAGTGAAGTTAAAAAGCGGTTTTTGACAGACGTTTTATTGTGACTTCTTCGTAAAGACTTTGTTGAGATTTCTTCGTAAAGACTTTGTTGAGATTTCTTCGTAAATGAGTGTAAATGACCCAAAAATATATTTTAGGGTAGAAGGGTATATCTACCCCGTTTTCTACCCTCTTTTCTACCCTCTTGAATTTTCATGAATTTCTTCGTAAAGACTTTGTTAAGACTTCTTCGTAAAGACTTTGTTAAGACTTCTTCGTAAATATTTTGTTGAGATTTCTTCGTAAATGACCCTAGTAGTATATTTTTGGTGTAAATTTCATGAAAATTCAAGAGGGTAGAAAAGAGGGTAGAAAACGGGGTAGATATACCCTTCTACCCTAAAATATATTTTTGGTGTAAATTTCATGAAAATTCAAGAGGGTGAAAAATTAGGTGAAAAAACAGGTGAAATCTCACCTCTTCACCTAAACATTATTTTTGGTGTAAAATTCTGAGTAAAATGACAGATGGAACACATACTTTTTCAGTAAGTACATATGGGGTAGAAAAGAGGGTAGAAAACGGGGTAGATATACCCTTCTACCCTAAAATATATTTTTGTCTGATTTACGCTCATTACGAAGAAATCTTGACAAAGTCTTTACGATGAAGTTTTGACAAAGTCTTTACGATGAAGTTTTGACAAAGTCTTTACGATGAAATCTTGACAAAGTCTTTACGATGAAGTTTTGACAAAGTCTTTACGATGAAATCTTGACAAAGTCTTTACGATGAAATCTTGACAAAGTCTTTACGATGAAATCTTGACAAAGTCTTTACGATGAAATTCATGAAAATTCAAGAGGTGAAAAATGAGGTGAAAAAACAGGTGAAATCTCACCTCTTCACCTAAAATATATTTTTATTGAATTCTGTATAATATTCTGAGTAATATGACAGATGTTTATATAACACTTTCTCCGGTTTATAGGACCTCTCTCATATTCTATCTTGTCATATCAAAACTCATAGTCATGTTTGTCCTCTAAGACTTCATTTATACTAAACATCTTCAGGGCTAGAAGGCACGAAGTGCCTGGAAGCCCCACTACCTTTTTTTTTTTTTTTTTTGTAAACGTAAGAATTCATACAATATTGAACGATTTTGTATCATTTTTTTAACATATGAAGTAAAAAATGTATGATTCTTACGGTTTTTATTCTTACGTTTTTGAATAAATCAAGATTTAAAAAATTGACTTCTTACGTAAAATTAAAACTAAGTTAAATTTATTTTTTTTATTTTTTATTTTATAATAAATGAGTATAACAACTAATTCATTGAAATCTTTAAAGTTCACTAATTCAGAATTAGAAAATATTTTAGAAAATTTTGGAGACGGTTCTTATCCAACATATATGCAGAATGTGAAAGAGTTTTCCAGATTGTTGAATGAATTTAAATATAACGGACTAATTACTAAAAAGGCTATAATGAGATATTTATATCCCAAAAAAGTTGAAAAACAGGAGAATATTCCTCTTTATGGTCCAGAGGACCTGGGCTCAGAGAGCCTTGAAACACCTCCTGAATATTTTGAAGAAAAAATTAAACAAGATGAATATTATAACGATGAGATTGAGAAATTGGAACAATTAAGAAATGAAATAGATGAAAAAATTAAGGAATTGAGAAATGCTGAGAATGAAGTAGAGGGTTTAATGAATATCCCAGCTTCAGAATCAGAAGTTCAAAAATCACATGAGGAAAGATATAAAAATTACTTTTTGGAATCTACTAAAAATTTATTAGATGGTGATATTGACGAAACACTTTCAGAAGAAGGCACAAAATTTATTCATAAACATAAGTTACAATTTATTGACGATGGATATTATCCATGTATATTACTTTCACCTCCTCTTGATTCTGAAAAATTCAAAAAAGCACTGAAAAATGTAACATATGCAACAAATACGATTAAGAAAGAAGACCATGATATTTACACAAATTATTATTTAAATAAATGTACAGGTGTTGATAAAGTTTTTGATTTGTTAGATAAAATATCAAAAGAAACAATTGGTAATATAAAATTTTATGTGATTGTGGTTTCATTATTGAAGATACCAATAATGTTTCATATGAAAGAACAGCACCGAAGGAAGACGAAGTTGAAAGGTCTATACCATTCGTTATTAAGAATATAAAAGATATGAAAACTTATAAACATTATATTTATTCATTTATTTCAGAAAAAATGGAAGCAACCCATAAAACATCTTCTCATCATTTTATAGCTATTCATACATTCCTTTTCAAAGTTGTGAAATTAAATAAGACAGGAATTAGATTTAATGTATCAGGGTACGCATTCTTGAGTAAATTAAAATGTATTCGTCACGTCGCAGATGATAAAAATTTATGTGTTCTTAATTCATTTTATGGACTTTAGCCCTGGACTCTCTGAGTCTCGGACTTTAAAAAAATAAACTTTATTTTTATTTATTTTTTAATTTTTATTCTTACATAAATGAACAAAAATGGAACAGCTAAAATGAATGATAATCAAATAAGAGCCGAAGGTAGAAGGTTATTTAAACGCTTCTATAACATTCCTGATGGTGTTAATCCTAAAACTCGTAGAAGTTATTTAAATGAAGCCATAGATGCATATGAAGGATTTGACATTTCATCAGAAAGTGAGAGGTTAGCAAGAATGTTAAACGTTAATATTGATTTTATTATTGTGACCTCAACCAGAAGACGTAGACATTAACAAGGTAGACTTTCCATTAGTGGAATCAATAATGATAGATCCAGAATTTGAAACAGTAAATATTTTATTAACACAGAGTCCATGTGGAAAACTTCACGCTGACAGAATAACAGACGTTGAAGCACTCACAGGATATAAAGTTTGCCCCTTTTGCAAAGAAGAAGTATATTCTATCCGTGATGATCCAGAAAGGAAAAACCAAAGAAGATTTTTAAAACATTGTGAGAAATGTAAAGAAAATAATGGAAGATTAATTCAAGACGTTCAATTGCAAAACACACAACAACCATATGCACCACATATCACGAAACAGAAGATATATCAATGGCTATTAGCACATAATTTGCAGGAATATTATAAACCAACAAGATATTATATTACTTTTGACTTCGAAACATTAGAGACTAAAGAAGAACTTCAACTTTCTGAATGTGCAACTTTGAACGCTTACTTAAAACCATTTATGGTATCATCAACTGTCAAAATAAAGCCGCAAAGCGGCGAGGACGTAGACCGTGATAAAACATTTACGAGGAATTTTTGCTTAACATCAAGTGATTCGTTCATCTCTGATTGGATTGAATTTTTATTTTCAACCTGTTCATTAGTTGCTAAATCAAATATTGAACAATATGAAGAATTAATGAATACATTAAATGAGAAACAAAAGGAAGCAATGAAAGAGCTTTTAGATGAAGAATTTAATAAAGTGAATATCATTGGTTTTAATTCAGGAAAGTTTGATTTAAATTTAATTCTTCGTGATTTAAATACTGCAAAATGGAAGATAAAATCAATGCTGGGTTCTTCTTCTCAATTTAAGCAAGTCATAGTAAAGAAAACAAACTGTCCATATGAATTAAGATTTATTGACATCAGAAATTATATAGCGGGTGGAACATTAGACCAATTCACTCAAGATTTCGGAAACAATAAATCACGTGTTAAATCCTTTTTCCCTTATCAATTCATCACGTGGGAGAATTACGAAGAAGAATTATATAAAGAGGAACCATTCACGAAAGATTCATTTTATTCAGCATTAACTCAAGAAACAATATCCGATTCAGATTATCAAATATATCTCAATGATGCTAAAAATTTTAAGAATAGATTAGAATATTTTATTCATTATTGCAATAAAGACGTTGAAATTATGATTGACCCAATTGATAAAATTATCGAAGAAACATTTGTTTATAAAATTGACATGCTTCATAATCTTTCTTTATCATCGAATGCATCAATGATTCGTTACGCTTTAGCATATAAGAACTTCAATCCTAACGAAACATATCCAGAAGAAGAAAATGTGGAATCAAGTTTTGAATTAACAAAAAAGTATTGGAAATATAAAATTGAATCATATAAGAAACAAGATGAAAAAGCAGAAAGGGATACTAAAAACAATGTTTCAATGGATGACTATCAATACTATCACGATTTAATCCTTTCATCTAAATGCAGAATGTGTGGTAAAGCGTTTACATATGCAAATAAACCAACATTGGATAGAATCGATAATGAAAAACCACATACCAAAGAAAATTGTCAGTTAATGTGTTGTTATTGCAATGTCGTAAAATCAAATAAAGATGAAGATGTTCAACGTTTAAGAATCAATTTAAGAAATTATGCATTAAAAAATAATTTACCAATGACTTTAGATTCAGTTGAAGCTTATCACATTCTCCGTAATGGAATTACTGGTGGTCTATCAAATGTTCAACATCGTGTTAATCTTAAAGGAATCACGCACATTAATAAACTTTCATATAATCCAGAAACTAAAACTGTATCAAATGAGGACACCACCAACATTATGACTCATTTCGTTGGAGTTGACTTTAATTCATTATATCCTTCATCATTTTCATCTAATCCTCATGATTTCATTCAATATACTGACCATAAAATGTATATGCCGGGAAGATTGAATGGTGTTATCATTTGTGATACAGCAACAAAGAAAGCAAAAGCACTGGGAATAATTAAGAAGAAAAATACTTTATTCGTGGCTGAAGTAAAGGGTCACATTGATGAAAAATACATTAATGATTACATAAACTTTTTACCGATAATAAGAAACTTAGATATTATCACAGATGAAAAAACAATTGGCAGTTTTATGTATAATTACATGAAATCAAACAATCTACCAGTTGACCAGAAACAGAGGAAATTAACTCAGTTAGCATCAACACACAACCAATATCAACCATTTTCTTCTTATTATCTTTGGTATCTAATAGACAGATTTCATTTTATCATCGATGATATTCAATCAATTTTAACATTTACGAAAAACACTTGTTTTAATGAATTTGCGAACAAATTTATGAACGAAAGACAAAAGGCTGAATTAGAAGGAAATAAAGGAAAAAGTTTATTTTGCAAGATTTCACTTAATGGATCATATGGTTACGATGCAATGAATACACAAAATTACGCAAAGACTAAAATAATGAATGCACAGAAGTCACGCGTTGCATGTATGTCAAATAAGTTTAAAAACATAAGAGAAATAGGTGAAGATACATATCAAGTGATGCTTAAAGATAGATTTTATAGATGTGATACATGTTTACAAGAGGCATTCTTCACTTTAGATAATGCTAAATACTGGTATTTGGTTTTCATTTATGATTTTATGTATAAATGCATGGATGTTAATCGTTTTCATTTCATTGAAGGTGATACTGATTCATCTTATTGGGCAATCGCTGGCGACCCAAATCTTCCTAACACTCAAGCATTTCAAGCAATTGTTACCGATAAACAATTTTATGATAAAAACATTTTCAAATTCGCACCTTTTGATTTCTTCTGTTTTGATGAGAAATTTAAACCTAAATTAAAGAATAAAGCTGAAGAAAAAGCACATGAGAAGAAGTTATTGGGTTTAGCAATTGAGAAACAAGGTGATAACATGGTTGCTTTATGTCCTAAGTGTTATACATCATTCAATGGTTCAATTGATGGAAGTGATTTTAAAAAGATTGCACAAAAAATGAAAGGTGTTAGTTTACGACAAAATAAACAATTAACACCTAAAAATTATTTGGATATAATAAATGATAAATTGATATTTGATGGTCAGAATATTAATTTACAACTTAAAAATGGGTCAATGACTCGCTTAACAATTGGTAAGACTGCATTAACAGGAGCACACACTAAGGCTGTATGTTGTGAAAATGGATGTTGTATGCCATTTATTTAATAAAATACCACAGAAGAGACAAAAGGAACCGTTAATGATGGTTTTGATACTATGATTCAAAGAGGTGGGCACCCTTAAAACATTGATTTTATTTTTATATAAATGAATAACACAGATTTAAAAATTTTAATTGATGATTTAGTATTTAATCAAAATTTTCTTAATTATTATGATTTAAAAGCATATCTCCAAAAATATAATAATAATATAACGGGTGATGATATGGAATATTATTATCCATATTATAAAAATGAAATTTTGAAATATCATAATAAAATAATTTCTGAAATTAAAGACAAAATTAAAAATAATGAATATATAAAGGGAAAAACTAAATCACAGCTTAAACAGTTGAAAGATTTCAAAAATAAAGTATTAACAGAAGAAGATATTGATGAATTATATAAATTATATAATCCCGAGCCGCAAAAGCCAAAGGAACAAAAACAAAAGGAACAAAAAAAAAGGAACAAAAAGGTCCTTCAGACCATAAATGATGCACAAGCTTTAATTTATGATTCATTAGTTAAACCATATTCAGCCCGACTTTTAAATGAAGATCAACTTTTGGAATTCATCCTTCAACATAAACTCGAAGCGGGAAAGTATATCAAACCTTTATATACAGCATATTTAAAACAAATGAATAAAATACAT